AAAAAATTGCTTTTCTTTAATGCTCTTTTGGATATGTTACCATAGTATTATATTTTTATGTTAGGTTATATACATCTGCATATATTAATACAGTACAAAAAACATTTACAAAATTAAAAACATTAAAACAAAATGTTTCTTATTTTTTTATTAATGAAAAAGAAATGAGTGTTGGGGTTATGTATAGCCTACAAATTAACATGGTAATACACAACATTTTTACACAATTATTCAAAATTTAAACTGACATCCATGTTTTATAGGCTATTATAGTATTACAAACAACTTTCTTTGCAACAGCTCTTTCTGTTAGGAATAAGTAGTGGATTTCAACCTTTATTTTGTAGCAGATAAAGGAAAATGTAAGCTCGTGCATAAAGCAGAGGCTAAAGTAAAATGTGTTACACAGTATTTACTGCACAAAACAATGTTTCTTATTTAGTTTTCTTCACATATGGCCCTATGTGTCACTTTGCAAACGATGTTCACTGTCTCCTTGTTAAACAAGCTGGGCTTGCTTTTTATAAGGCTACACGTTACGCTTTGGGCGAAATTGTTTAGTGTGGAAATACCACTTTAAACGTCATTATAGACACATGAACAGCATACTCTGAACAAACAGGCCTACACGTGCAAAGTGCCTCCTCTGCTGGTGATAGTTTGAAACTGCTACAGGGGTTGGTTAAATGAGACCATGCATGAGAATACATTTCTTAAATTATATAATGGCATTATGACATGCTTGATTTTGCACATATACACTTAATTTAGATTAAGGCATGCATATATTGATATTGTTTGTACTGTAAATGTTTTCTAAAGAGAAGAATTGCCATTAACAAAAGGAAATAATGAATAAATGCATGAATGATTGAAAAAAAACACATGAATGATTCAATTAAGGGATGTCAGACAGCCTTTGATGCTTAGTTCTATACACTACCAGAAAATGTTCAAGGGTGGCAGTGTTATGCTTTACACAATAACACTTGAACTGAACTATACCTTAAAAAATATAGGCTACTGCATTCACCATGTGGCTTTCTCTTTACCACTTGTGTTATTATGGTGGATGTTGGTGTATGCTGAAGGATCAAAATAGGAGCAGTGTAGTCATGTTAATTCAGCAAAAAGGGCTATTGGATGGTTTACATGTTTTGGATTTACTAGTTATTTTCTCTCTCTCAGAATTACGAAGGTTTTAAATTGTTTTGAAGTTGTTTGCATTTTTACAGTGGTATTTTGTTTGTAACAGAATTATTCTGGAATCCTTAGCTGTCATTTATATTTTGTAAAAACAACAGGATATATATACCCACTCTTACATTTGCATGTTTGCATGATTTGAGTGGTTATTTTGCATATAGGTGAGTTCACCTAAACCACCTAAATCTATATATTTGACACAGTACAAATACACTAAGATTTGGTTTTACCTTTGACATGTTTAGTGTATGTTTCATCTTATATATATATATATATTAATATTTTCCTTTTGTTTTCGTTGTTGTGCATGCAACCGATGGCTATTGGTTTTGAAATAGTAATTTCATCACTTGCAGCTTCCTTAGAGGCTGTGCTTTGAGGTCTTACCACAAACTATCAAATGCTCTGGACTGCCTAATTCTGGTGCTCCAATAAATGTTTGATCCACGAACCACTAAGAGGCTGGCTGTGTACCACAAATAAATCAGAGCCATCTGCTGAAATGTGATGGAGATTTTGCGGAGAAAGTCTGGAGTTTATGGAGTTCTGTTCAAGCCAATCCGCATGAGGCTGACCCATGCACAACCCACAAACATTTACTTTCCTTTTTTCTTCCTTTTTAATGTATTTAAAGCAAATGTTATTGATTTAAATAGACTACTGAAGCAAATCATTCAGTGCAGTTTTTATGATTGTTTATGAGCTTGAAGTAGTAGCTTTGAATCCATTTTCAGTAATTCAGCTGGTCATTCTATGACACATTTCACTGTAAAACCACTGAAAAATCGACAACAGGTCTAAAATAACGGGTTACGTCTGTGTGACATGAAAAATAGTTTACTGTCCCTTTAAGACTGCGCTATTGTCATTGGTCAATGGCCATCTGTATCTTGTGCGCTTGTGCAGGCTCATTCTGTTCCAGGGGCGAGTGTTATTATAAGGCCTAGAATTTAACGCACCTGCATTGAGGGGAACAATTAATCTGTTGAATTAGACATTGTGACAAATGCTCTTTTGACGCGTTATTAGCAAATAACACAATCCAGATAAAAATGGCTGAATTACCGATGGGGAAAGGGGTATCCGCAGGAAAAATAGCAAGCAGTGTACAGAAAAAAATTACCAGGGCTCAGGAAAAGGTAAGACATTTTAATCATCAGATATATATCAAATACAGCATCTCTTTCAACACTGATCGCAGTGTTATTTACCTTACATCACAATACAACATCTAAGGCCGTTAGTATCGTCCTCATAGCGTGATGTATAAAAGCAACGAGTCAGAGTCGAGGCTCATCCATATACTGACTATCAAATGCACAAATACGTGCATTTGCCTCACCTATATACTTGCGAATGTTTTGATAATTTTATGGATAATGCAATTTTGTTTATTGCAATGGGGCTGCTATGGAAACAAGCCTGTTACACTAGGTTTGTGCGTTCGCTTTAAAACCACGACGATCAGTACTCAATGTGCTTTAAGCTTCAATGAACCCATATTTCCTATGAACCTTTGCATTACCTCGCGCGGCAGCGATGTCCGGATCCTTTTAGTGAATCGGTTCACAGAACAAGTCCGAACGGTTCGTTCACGAATCTGATCACGAGTCGTCGGCTCACTCGTTCATTAAACCGAGAACCGTCACTTTCATGCATGCATGTGGCATGTGCGGTTTGTAATCAGACGAGAACTCTGTGATATGAGTGAATTTTTGTATTTTAGTATGTCTAGAGTCGTAGGACGTTTTATACGTTGAAAAGTATACAAGTAGAACAGTAGATGCTTTTTTCGCGACCACGTGATGACGCAATGACGATTTGTAACCGGTTCTTTGAACGAATCGTTCTAAAGAACCGATTCGCGGAAATAAGTCAGGCTTCCCTTCACCACAGTAACTGATGCCCCTCATCCTTCACCACTTTTGATTGCTGCAGCCTGACATTTCACAACTTTATGTAAAATACTCCAGCAGCTTTTGTTTAACCTCCTCAAACTTCAAAGTAATTTGTGGTCATAAATGTCACACAGCGTGATTAAATAGGTCGAGGAACCATCTGTCTTTTCTGACTATAGATGATTTATTTCCTTTAGAATGATGTTTGGGTTCTTCACACAAGCTGTCACACTGAATACGGAAATGAGAGATTTCATTTAAATTTTGCAGACACAAATACATATGCCAGTCATGGTCTTTGAGCAATAGATACGACTTTGACAATTTATCAATGATATTTGTACAGTATTTAATACATATAGTCCCATTTAGATCTTCTGTATGGTCATCTGTGCAGCTACATTAGCTTGAATTGAATCTGCTACTGTTGTTTTCTAAAGAACAATAGTCTTTTATGTTGTAGACACACATTTACTGGATAATAGACCCTAGATATCCAGGTTTAACCTATGTATTTCTCGTCAATGCAAAGAATCTCCCTCCATATAGAAGTTCTGTGTTGTCACAAATATAGTCCCATTTAGATCTTCTGTATGGTCATCTGTGCAGCTACATTAGCTTGAATTGAATCTGCTACTGTTGTTTTCTAAAGAACAATAGTCTTTTATGTTGTAGACACACATTTACTGGATAATAGACCCTAGATATCCAGGTTTAACCTATGTATTTCTCATCAATGCAAAGAATCTCCCTCCATATAGAAGTTCTGTGTTGTCACAATAAATGCTTTTTAAAAATATGAATAATGTGGTCAATAATGCAATCATCTTCTCTCAGGTTCTCCAAAAGCTTGGCAAGGCAGATGAGACTAAAGATCTGGCATTTGAAGAGGGTGTGATCAACTTCAACAAACAGCTGGTGAGTGTTTTTCTAACTCATATTTTTTTCAAATGTTCATCTGCAAGCATTGGGAATCTATTCTAGTTTTATTTTCTCTTGGTCTGTGACTCTCTGTTTCAATTTTGTGTCATGGGCTCACATAGGTTGAGGGTAGCACACTGCAGAAAGACCTGCGGGCCTATTTGACTGCTGTGAAAGGTGAGATAATCAATTGACAAATTTACACACCTAAAAGCAACATGAATCAAGTATGTTGTTTTCTTAGCCTTGCTGATCCCTTTCTCATGGTTTCCCCCAGCCATGCATGAGTCTTCTAAACATCTGTACGAGTGCCTGGATGACATGTATGAGTCTGACTGGTATGGCAGAAAGGAAGTGGACTCACTTTTCGAGGTTATTGTTTTATACTTAAGTCATTGTCAGTAAAATGTGTTTTAGACTCAAACAGTAATTCAGGAGTAATTTGAGCACCCTTTTGTCCCATTAATACAGTTTAAAAAAAAGAATTCAAATGAGAAAATGTGTTGTTTTTGTCTGAATTTATAAAGTATACATTCAGACTAAAATCTTTGGAAATAGATGAAAACATGTTCTTCCACTAGCAAGTAGCAAATCTTTGCCTTATGACTGTCTTGTGTCTTTTAAAAGGAAATCATTTCAACACAGGACAGAAAATCGCACTTTCATGTTTTTTTTAATGTAAAGAGTAAACCAAATTATCAAGAATTATATAAAATTCATTTAACACTTTAATTAAGGGCAGATGTGGCACAAGGCATCCCCTACAGCTTTTCTTCTTTGCATTTTATTGTTCATTTAATTCACACCCATCTGTCATTTCACCATGTTTTTATTACATATTACACTACTGTTCTAAAGTTGTTTTAATGTTTTCAAAGAGTATGCTCGCCAAGACTGCATTTAATTGATTAAAAATTCAGAAAACAATACTATTGTGAAATATTATTATTATTATTATTAGTCATTTAGCAGACGCTTTTATCCAAAGCGACTTACAAAT